CCCCCCCCATCAGAAAACCAAAAAACAAACAAACAAACAAAAACAGTAATATTCAAGTGCCAGAAATGTACCATCACATCAAAGTAAAGAAAGTTTCCATAATTAAATTACAGTAAATGTCCTCATGTCATAATAATTTAAATATGGTTATTTTAGTTTTAAATTTACACAAAATATTGTGTATTTTAAGAGATTTTATATAGTAAATAAAGTTGAAACAATGAAATGACTAATAATATGGTCAAACACAGTTCTTTACATTTACATAGACCTAATATTGCAGAAATGCGCTGTTATTGGGTTTTATTATGAAATTTTATGTAAAACAAAATCTTGTACTTTTATTCCATAATTTAAGTCAAAATACTTTTATTAAACTAGTAACTGGGTTTAGAAATGACAGTAATCTAATGTTCATCTTTGTGCATATGACGTGTATAATGGGTTTTTCCTTGTATTCTAAGATGGATTCAACCTTTTACAGTAGCCAGAAAACGGTATTGTAATTATAATATAGTTTGTATGCTGTCGAGTGGGTGAAAGGACAGTTCCACAGTGTGTGGACTGTCAAACACAGAGGAGGAAGTGTGATGGTCTGGAGTCAGCTCTTTCAATATTCACACCATTAGTATCTACTTGATGTGATCTGTAACAAAGATCCTGTCTGATGACCCGAAGATATCAAATTTTGATTTATCAGTCCATAACAGTGTTCTTCAAGTTACTTCAAAAAAGTAATTAGTTACTTATTCTCCAAAAAGTAATCCCATTACATTGCTGATTACTTATTTTCAAACGTAATAGTTACTTTTAAAAACATGATGCACAACCTGAATATGTAGTAAAGCAACAGACCTTTCAGCCCAATTCTATTTTTCTGCATAATCCATCATATAAGATGTAATCCAACAGACAGCCTCTTCCTAAAAAAATGTTTTATTAGTTTTAATCTTTGAACTTTGAGCACATTGCATCGAGCAAGAATTTAATCATATGCAATATTCTCTGACTTGTGTTCAACATTTAAAGCTATTTTCTGCACATTCCAGCAGATAAAATCAAATCATGTTTTAAGTAGATGCAAGTAAAAAAAAAGAAAATAAAATCAAAGACTCAGCAGCTCTTAAATCTATTGTCTGTGTTTATCAGGAGTGGGGCGGGTGGAGGTTTGCCCACAGTGGTCATGTCAGTGGAAGGATCCGGGGGTTTCTTGGTGAATGCCACGTTCCTGTGGCAGCGCGCTCGCTGCTCGCTCAGATTTCAAGTTTCATTTTTTGCTGTAAAAAGAAGTTTTCTTCCCACGCAGAGTGAACACCAGACACTAATGTTTTTGTCACTTTTTACAGAATCAAACTCAAAGTAATGTGATTACTTCCACACTTTAAACGCTGCATGGTCATACTCTCTCCATCACTCCATATGATCCATTGTTGATCTGCACACAGCTGTTGCCACGGACGTCGCACACTCGTACGTCATTGTCATGAGACACTCTCACAAACAAAATCACGGTTTAGTAACGCAGCGTGACTACAGGAAAGTAACAGTAATCGAATTACTTTTTTTTGCAATAGTAATCCCTTACATCACTCATTACATGAAATAAGTAATCCGATTGCATTACTGTCCATCTCTGGTCCATAAAACCTTCTTCCAGTCTTCAGTCGTCCAGTGTCGGTGTTTCATGGCCCAGACAAACCTCTGTCTTATTCTGACGTCTGGCTTTCTTTCTGCAACTCGTCCTGTCAAACCTGCAGCTCAAAGTTTTCTCTTCACAGCTGGAACTGAGACTTTCTCACTACGACCACTATGAAGCTGCTTGAAGCTGCTGTCCTGTGAGCTGCCATCACACAGCTGTTACCTCTCAGAAACTTGTCCTCTGATTCAGTCGTGTCTTTGGGTCTGCAGACGTCTTCCTGTCACAGTTTGTGAGCCTTTGGATGCTGAAGGAAACTGGACTCACTGACACTTTGACTTTCTTTGCAGTTTCTCTGTAGGACAGACCGAGATTTATAAGTGTTATGTTGGTCTGTCTCTCTTCCACTGTTAATCTCACGATTTTGTACCAACACACTACTCTCAGCAGTACAGTACTGTTCAACTGATGCTGACGAGGGTACCACAGTGTGTTCCAACACTGCTTTATGCAGACAGAGGGGGTTGGAAGTAATGCAGAAAATCCAGAAAAGTTGAAACAGCTGTAGGATTTAGTAGCACCAGCTTTCAAGGCTTGCTCAGCCTCCATCGCTGCAGAACAGCTTTAGGTTGTTAACCCACGCTGTGTTCCCCAAAAAAGTCCTTTTGTCTAATTCTGAAATGTACATTATTTATTCTTTGTTTTTAACCTCTGGCATTTCACCACTTAAATTTGTACAATTTCAAGCTATTCATAGGACTTAAAATGCAACAAATAACTGGAAAAATTAGGATGTTCTAAAACTTGACCAGTAGTGTATATTAGAGAATGGTGAGATTTTACTTTATAGTGACAACTCCTAAGCAATTAGGACACTTAATTACTGTGCCCTAATTTTTTAATTATTACTAACAAATAGACCACAACAAAAAACAAACCCTAACAATTTGATATTAAAAAAGAATAACTTATTCAAAAAGGTTTTTAATGAGCCATCAAAAACAGAAATGAAAATTAAAAACATTAAACCCTAAATTTAGAGTCACACTGAATGTGGCAAGTTTCCCTGATGATTCAGGCACCTAGAGATGCTTGAACAGCAAAGATATGTTTGAATCTGAGTGCAGTTAATTTCAGGTAAAGTTTAGGTTAACTGTGAAGCGGTGCACAGGTAGTCTGGCTCTACCAGGATGGCACGTCCATAGATGCAGTTGCAAGAAGGTTTGGTCTGTCTCCAAGCACTGCCTCAAGAGTGCGGTAGAGATACCAGGGGATAGGCTATGACATGAGGAAAGCAGAACAGGACTGTGGAAAGGCATCGACTGTGCCTCGGGGCCAATGCCTTCATGCAAGGAGGAACCGAACAAACCCAGACATAGCTCACAGTCAGCTCCATGCGAACTGTCTGAGATTCCCCAGAGAATAACAGAACTGGCTGGTCAGCTGTTTACAGTGTTCCTCGTCCCTTTATCATCTTTTTGCTTTGATTTATCTTGATGAGGCATCTGTTGAATTCAGTTTAAATAGACAAATCTGAAGAATGGTATTGAGTGACTAAACCTCAGCTTTACATTAATATATTGTTTTATATATCAGCAATGACCGCAGCAAAACAGGGGGAGTTTGCAAACTGCATATTTGTGGTGTGTCATGGTGAGGATGAGGACACTAAATCAGGACTCAGACAAAAGGCTAACTTAGCCGAGGGTAGAGTCTCAGCTTCTGGTGGCCGGCCGTAGCCCACGGGGCCGGGTGCAAAAAAGTGGCACAGCTCTGTCCTCCTGTGGGCCCACCACCCACAGAAGAGGCCGTAGTTTGGTGCTTACTAGACTTAGCAGTCAGAGGCAGAGGTTCTGGCACTCTCAAAACTAGCTTATGGTACATGTAGTGTCCCCTGGTGCAGAAGGAGCTCGAGCTGGTGCACAAGGTTGGAAGATGCTGACTAGATATAGTCTGGCTCACCTCAACACAAAGCTCCAGTTTGGTGGAGAGCAGTTAGACTCTCTTGCACTGTGCAGTTGTCCGGGGTTAGGTATACCTGCAGCCCCTTGGCTTTCCCCAGTGGACTAAAGAGTTGCTTCCCTGCATCTTCAGGTTGGAACAGGCTCTGGCTGTTATTTGTGCCTATGGGCCAAATGACAGAGTGCCAAGTGTTGTTAGGGTGGGGTGCTGGAGAGTGCTCCAATCAGAGTTATAACACCGACTGGTTTTATGAGTGGATTATTCTGCCACAATATTCAGTTAAAAAGGGTTGGACAGCTTTCACATTTGAACTTAAATACTGGTGTACTGTGAGGGTGGCATCACTGTTGCAGTTCTGGTACACTAAAATATTAAATGCTAGTGTTAGATTGTTACTGGTTATAGTTACATGAGGTACAATGACTAAAACCTTAGTGTGTGTTTGTTTACCAAAAAACAACATTCTGACGAGAACGAGCAGCCATCAAGTGGATAAATGAATTCAATTAATGAAAACATAAACAACATCATGAAAAAAACCTAATCAATTGCCTGAACAAGATATAGATGGGTTTGACTTTTTTATGGTGGCAACAAAGGTTCGAAAGTTAACTTTGGTTTAAACGTTTGATCGGGACTGTGTGTGAACAAACATCCTCTGTGATGATGAAGAGTCTGGATGCAGATCCTCTCTCAGTGACTGAATGGGACTTTAAGACACTGCGTTCAGCCCAAAGCGAATTCGATTTCTGTCACTGAACAAGAAAAAATAAATGAATAATTAAAGATGAAAGAGGGTTGTTCTACAATTACTTAAAAGTGATTTCTTTTTTTTTAAATGGAACCTTTATTTGACTGTTTCTTGTAATAAATTTAAGAAAAACAAATAATAAACAACCAAAAACTTAGTCCAGCTCGGGCATCAGAAGTACAAATGTTTGGAGATATTTAGTTGCTGTGCTCAGCACAACAGTTAAGGATGAGTCGCCCTCATAACGAAACGTCATTCAACTTTAGATATGACGTAACTTATATTCGTATAAGCAACTTTCAAAATCAAGCATGCCCCAGTTTTCAGTAGTCAGCTGTTTCTTTTAGTAATTCAGTACTTATCATTTTTCTCATTGCCCAGATTATTATAATAATAATCAAAATGACAGAGCACTGCCAGAAGATTGTGAGTGATTTTTGTGGAAGCCTTTACACGTGCAGTCTGACAGTGTGTAGACAAAAAAGTTCAATAAGATTTATTTAAAAACACGTGAGAGAAAATCATCAACCCCATCATAAGAACAACGATGATTCAGTCACTGAACTATAAGGACCATACCGGGTCCTTGGCCCTATGTCACAGTGATGGCAGCCGTTCAGACACTGCCCCTCTGACGGAGAGTACAACAATGTGAGCGTAGGTGTTGTTATGTATTCACTGTAAGTCTGTGAAGCAGGTGCATGACAAGACTAATCAGGTATTAACATCACCTCCCGCTTGTATTTAATGGTTCAAACAAGGCAAAATGAACTGCTTTAGAAAACCATTGAGACAGGAAGGAAGGGAAAAAAAATTATGCTTACATAAAAAAAAGTTCATAATCCCACTTAAGTAATAGTACTTAAGTTTTAATAAGATAAGTAAAAATATATGCTGAGACCACCCATCTATCCATTTTCTTCCTTTAATGCAAAACAAAGCAAACACAATTTAAATTGGCAATAAAACATTAGAATGACAGTACCAGTGATCCTGATGTGTGATTAAGATTTCCTGTATGTCCTTGTGCCAGTGGATCTGTGTCACAGCAGGTACTCCACTACCTGTCCAATCAGCGCTGCAGAGCAGTGTCAGGATTACAGGTGGGATAATAGTTTGTTCTCTGACTTTGTCTCCACTAAAGCTTCAAATGTAATATAGCATTAATAGATTTAAAGTTTATAAGTAAATGTAAGTAACAAAAGTGAGACTTTGTAGCTGAACTGTTTTGTTCAAGTCTACATTATAATGCTGCTATTTAAACCTGTTCTTCCAGGTGTCTCTGCTGAGGAACTGAGGAGAACACGAGGTGGTTCTTCTGCAGTCACAGAACAGGACGAAACTCATGGTCCAACAAACCCAGGCCAACCAACAATGACCTTCAGAGATTTGCCTGATTGAGCAATGACAGTATATGAATTATCTGGGAATACAGTGGAATTCTTGCCCAGTCCGTGCCAGCAGGTCAAATCCAGCTTTGGACATTCATTCTCAACCTCAAACTAACCCAGTTTGTTTTTAACATTGCTTTCCCTTTTTTTGACAAACACATTCACTGATGATAACAAAGAGATATGTCACTATATTCCTGGTGGGATCCTGCTTGTTATTGGACCACTCCTCCCAAATCCCTTTGCAGACTTCCCTCCACAACAGAACTAGCAGGGGTGCCATTACATTATCTGGTGGAGGGAGGAAAAATCTGAGTTTGAGGCCTTCTTTGGGGGAAGTTCCATCAGTGGAGGGCAAGAGGAGATGGCGGAGGCAGGGTAGGTTGGGAACTCACCGGATTAAGAGAGGATGGGTGTGGAACCAGTTCTTTGTCCTGGAGGAGTACATGGGATCTGAACCTCAGTATGTTGGAAAGGTAAGCGAAACAAAATCGTTATATACGATCGTTATATATGCTGTTACCAGATTATTTTGAGAGAGCTTGTGTGTACTCTGTACTTGTCTTTAAACAGCAACTTTACCAACATTACTGACTCTTTACCTTCTGTTAATTTTAACAGAAAAGACCTGATGTTTTTAGCTCGTCCATGTTGCTTCATTTTTACATTTTTCT